TATATATATATATGCATAATTTGCATTTGTTAAACAATTTGAAGTTACATTGGCACTTTTGTTTTTTCACCTTATAGATATGACATGTAAATCATATGTTATTTTCGCAATATGAATTCACAGTTTCAATCTTTTGCAATCTAAACAGAAATTTTTCAACATTCCTTTATATTTTATTCACCTATTTTGTCATTCATGTTTCATTTGTGGATTGAATTAAAATTGAAATATTACTTGTAGGTTCAGAAAAATTTTCCCACCATTGAGGGTGAATTGTTCAAAGCCATGGCAGAATGCGGGTACATATCAAATGAGGACATTTTTGCTCCATCGCGTTTTGGATTCCAGAGAGCTGCAAGAACTGATCGATGCGTGTCAGCAGCTAGACAGGTACAGTTCGAAAATTGGGTAAATTTAGTACTTTCAAGAGCAGGTGTTGATTTTTTCAAACAGGAAGGTCTAACTTTATAGTAGCAAAAATTTTCAGATGTGCTCAATGCGGCTTTCACCAGATAATCATGAAGATTTTTTAAAGACAGCTGTTTCTGCACTTAACTCTCATTTATCGGAAGAAATTCGAGTTTTAGGTCTTAGGTACGTCATTGGTGTCTTGCATAATCGGATAGCAATTTCAAGAGTAGAGTGATTGAGTTTTCCTCTCTCAAAGCTATTTTTCAATTTTAGAGCAAGTTGTATTGGAAAAAATGCAGGCTGTTTTTCCCATGTTTTATGAATTTAGCTTACAGACGTGCAATTCGTTCTTTTAAAGCCCATAAAGACTGTGATAAACGAACTTATTCCTATACATTACCAACGTATGCATTTGCCAAAACAAATGAGGTTTATTCAACTTTTGCGTTTTAAATTCATTCTATTGTTTTCCATGAAAAAATGACTTTCAAGTAAAAAAAGTATTTTATACATTTTCAGCTTACAACCAATGACTTTCGTATAAACGAAGCGTCTATTGCAGAATTGAATGATTTACTTTCATTATACAAAGGAACACACAATTTTTTCAACTATACCTCTGGAAGGCGAGTACTTCATTTTTATTCATTTATCACAGCAACTTTTAAGTTGCTACAATGTTTAATTGCACAGTTTAGCAAATTTTTTGTATCTAATTAGTGTCTAAATTTCTTTTTGCTCAAGATTTAGTTTGTTTACTTATTATATTTAGAGGTTTAACTTCGCTCAGCCATATTTTTCTGAAATTTCATATTCTGTCGCTAAATTTATTCCATTTCAAGGGCATAATAGTTTTTATCCTGTTAAAACTTATTGATTGAAGTTTGATTGGCTTCAGAACTTACGAAGATCGAAGCAGCATGCGATATATTCATGATTTCAAATGTGGTCCTACACAACTTGTTGAAGACATTGTACGAGGGGATATGGTTGAATTTATTACACTGTATATTACTGGCCAAAGCTTCATGCTGCACCAGATTCGGAAAATGATTGGTATAATTTTTTTATCGTTCACGGCATTTTTGTGGCGAAAGCAAAAGCTGATTAGTTTTATTGATAGCAGAGATATGTGACTAGTGTTCTTCACTTCATAGTGAGTAGTCGATAAAAAATTATTTTGTGTAAAATGTACCTCGCAAGTATATCACTGGTTCATTAAGCTACGAGAACATTTGTATTACTATGAAGCTTTGAATTTTGTTGCTGATTTATATAAATATTGAGGTGCATTTTGAGATTGAATCTAGGAATTCTAGTATTTTGGAGTTCTTGTTCATACAGTTAACGTCTTAAAGAGTCCGTAAAAAATATGCACGAATGAAACTGAATTGTTGAAAAACTTGTCGCAAAGTTGACTTTCTAAAAATCGAATGTAGAGCAAAGTCATAGTTTAGTGGAAGGAATCAACATTTACTTTAATTAGCCGTTATCAAAAGTACAGTTTACTTTGATAAACTATGTTTTTTGTCAATTTCAGGTATGACGATAGCAACTTTCAGAGGTTTTTGTGGCGAAACAGAGATACAAAAAACATTTCTTAGTGAAAGAGTAATACTTTTTTTATTTAAATTGTGGTCGACTTTTCAAAACGAAATTTTAATGTATTTAAAAATCATCATCTTGCTTATTTAGATTAGTGAAATTACTGTAAATAAGATATGTTTGTTAACGTAATGTTTAAAATGCTCAAAAATGTTTTAATTATCAAAAACATTTATCTTATTTACAACTTTTCAAGTCTTAATTTATAAGTAGAGATTAAATTGTTGAGCATCACCCAGTTAAAATAAAAAATAGATTTATTTGAGCATTTATGTAAGTAACATATGCTTTTAAAAGGTTTCCAAATTACCTGCTTTTCTGTCGAACAGTTCAGATTATTATTTTAAATGATAAATTTAGATGGATGTACCAAAAGCACCTGGCTTGGGATTAATATTGGAAAAGGTACATTATGAGAGATATGACAAGTGGTATGAAAAAACGCATGAAAAGTTAAATAATTGGAGTGACGAAGTTGAAAATGAGATTGGTAAATTTCGAGAGCGTTATATTATTGCAGAAATTTGTAGACAGGAACTTGCCACTCATTCGTTAGTATTCATCTTTCATTTAAGTGTTGTAATCTAGTAATCTAGTTGTTTTTATTTATTTATTTTTTTTGAGTGGTGGAGGGAATTAGCGTTTACATTTATACTAATCATAGCAGGAATTTAATGGCTACAACTATGGATGCTTCCCAAACTTCAGAACAAACATATCATACCGGTGCAGTGCATCAGTGTACAGATTATATTAAAGTTGCTAAGCACAGTTATATTGTTTTTATTTGTTATAAATTTTTAGGAATTCATTTGAGTTCTGATGTTTACATGTAAGAAACAAAATAAATCCTGAAATTTTCTAGAAAGAAACTTAATTCACTTTCGTAGGAAACTAAAGGCATCATATATAAACTACAGAAAATTTGATGAAGTTATTTTAGGATGTTTTTATGGTTAACTACTTTAATAAAGCATGATATATTAATACCTGGAATAACAAGGTCTTCAAAAGAACGATTGCCGTTGGGGTTGGCTTCAGATCTGGCTTATGTTAGTTTTTATTCTTTTGTTTTATGATAATTAAAAAATGTAGAATAGAGCATCAGAGCTGATTCAATACTTCTGAAGCGCTTTTGAGAATATTTTTTTTATTGCGAACCCTTCATTAAAAAAACTGATTTGTTATAGCGAGCAAAATCTAGGGTTCTCTAAAGATATTTAACTGAAAGAAGAGAAACTACCTTTCAAACTTGTTGGGGACGCATGCTTCTAAAATATATTTATTTCAGCAAGCAAATTCCTTAAAAAAAGAAAATAGTATCGAACAACCAGAAATTGCAGTTGAAAACGCGAAGAAAGGTGAACAAAATGAGGGAATGATGAAGGAAGTACGCGCTGAATATTCATTGCTAGCAAAAAATTTCGAAGAAATTTCCGAGAAGGTGGCAGACTTCCCTGTTTCTTCTTTGCAAACAGAAAACAGACAGCAGTTTTGATGTTTATATGAAATTCAGTGAAGAGGATTAAATATTTTTGAGTTGTTATGTGAAGTTTGTACTTTGCATCGTATTTCACTTGACCAGTACAACATGCTGTACTGAAGTCATATGATCAGATGTATTATTGACTCTCTGTACTTCAATAGGACTTGCTCTTTTTTAGAAAAGAAGATCTAGTTTTTTTGCAAGTATTTTCAATGTTAACACAGGTTTATTCTTTTGTTGTTGCTGTTGAGTTATGTTATATTGCTTGAGTAGAAATTACGTTTTCTTAGAATTTATAAGCAGTGAGTTATATAATTCTTTCAGAAACACATGTTCTATCACTCTTTCCTCAAAGCCTTAAATGTTGTTCTGGTTTGCATGAATTATTATACTATATTTAATTTTCAGTTACATGTAAAACGTGAAAGAGACAAGAATAAAAGTAGAGGCGTAAATTACGTATAGTTGAGTGTGTATTTCAAGGATTCTGTAGCATACAATCCAGTAATCTAGAAATTGTACCTTATTACAAAAACAAATATATGATAAAGTGGAAGGTAAGTTCTGGCCAGGTGTTAAATGTTGACTTGCCTTCACTCTTAAATATAGTTAGAACTTGAGATTTTACTTTGCATTTGTAGAAACTTCCATACAAGATGAAGTACAGAGGTGTCGATGACATGTTTATTTAACGACATTATACTTAAGACTGCTTATGTTAAAAAATTGAGGAGTTGTTACATCAGGTTTCGTAAAGAAATTACATCATTCCCATCTGTTTTTATCTTCTAGGTAGATTTATGATTGTCAGAGATAACAAACACGAAAAGATCAATATATCTTGCTACACTCAGGCAAAATTTTAAAGTAATTATTATTCTTCTTGACTGACTAAGATGGTCAACATTGCGATGTTTTATGCACAGTTGAGAAAATTCTGGATTGTACGTCATCAGTTTTAGAGAACTTTGAAAACATTTTGTAGAACAGTTAATGTCAAGTTAGTAGTGCTAGACTGTGTGCATATAACGAAAATTAGTTAATAATAAACATTTTTGGTCGCTATCAGCTTCTTATTTCAGTTATGGAGTCGGAAGCAGAACTTGGCGATGGCCATCTTAGCGACGAAATTGGTATTCGTCGGCGATCAGCATCTATCTCAGATGACTATTCGGTGCAAAAAACAAATGATGATGCTACTGAATGCAAATATATTGCATCTAAAGTAAGTTTATATTCTTACACATTTTTTTTTGCAGCATTTTGCTAGTGTGATATAATAATGAATTTATGTCTGCAATTAAAAATCTGTTGCATTTATATTGAAAAGTGATTCCATTCAAAAAATTTGTGGTAAATTTTTTTGATATAAAAAGAACAGTATCAGTTTCGGAAAATGCATTTTAGGTTAAGAAAAAAAATTAGATCTCTCCTTAAAATGGTCGTTCTTTGAATGAAATTGCTAGGTGTCTGAAACTTACTTTAACTACTTCATATTTTCAGCTTAATTACTTTAATGATACTTTCATCCATCACTTCATACTCACTGGTGAAAGTAATCTTCGTCGTGATCCAGAGATTTCACGTGGTTATTGGGCTCGAGTAACAGCAATTAAGGCTATTGTGGATGCATTTGTGAAAGTATAAGGATTGATTATATAGAATATTTCAGTTGCTGGACACATCTGTATTTTTCACTCAGTTATTTCTGCTAAAATAGTTTTCAGCGATCTTGATTTTAAAAGTTAACAAAATGGTTTGAACGACTGGTTCTTCAAATAATACAATACCGGACTTATTTTTACTTTATTTCACCAACAAACAAGCTTAATATAATCATAAGAGTTCCAGAGTTATTCCGGGAGATGCCAAGTTATTAGTATTGGTGCAGGATTTGATACTTTATATTGGAGATTGAGAAAGGAAGGAAAACAATTCCATCGTTATGTTGAAGTAGATTTCAGTTCTGTTACAGCCAAAAAAATTAGACAGATAAAAAAAGCTGGTCCAACTGATCTTGCTGCTCTGTTTTGTGAAGAACGTAAGTAATTGTACATTTTTATTCTAGATAAACTTCTATAATAAATTAGTCTATTCCTCTTCTTTTTTTTTTGAAAATATTAACGATGTAAGGCATAGACTGATAATCTCATCTTTAATTTTTGTTTGCTGTATTAAAACTCATTATTTAGCAAAAGAAGCAGAACATTCAGACTTGCATGCCGGTGACTACCATCTTATTGGTGCAGATTTGAGACAGTTAAATGAATTCAAAGGAAAACTTGAACGCTGCAGCTTGGATTCTGATATTCCTACTTTATGTATCGCGGAATGTGTTCTTGTGTATATGGGAATGGACGAGAGTCATGCACTTCTCTCAGCATTGATCACTTGGTTCAAAACTATTTTCTTTCTGAATTACGAGCAGGTCCTTCCGTCATATCCATTTTTCAAATACTGAATTTGTATCTGCTCTTGAATCGTATATGGTGGAATGTTTTATATGTGTAGCGTTTGAGTATATTGTCTAAAGAAAACTGCCACGTTTTATAATTGAAATCAGATAAGAAGACGCATTGGGCTCATTTATGAAGTGAAAATTATAAAAAAGATTATAGCAAATAAAGCAAAAACTATAGTCTAATCATTTTAAATTTCAGACCTATGTTAGTGAATTTCTTTATCAACATCTTAAATTTATTACTAATCACATTGTAATTCTTTATTTCAAGTTCAGGTAAATATAAATGATACTTTTGGTAAAGTGATGGTATCGAACTTGAATTATCGTGGTATCATCTTACCTGGACTTCATACTTGTGAAAGTTTGAATACTCAGAGAATGCGGTTAGCAGTAATTAAAGACATTAAAAAAATTCTAGTCTCCATTGTTAATTCTTTCATTTATTAATTCACTATCACAAGTGAAAGGGTGTTATTTTAATTTTTTCTCTTTTCATGTCCATAATTACTACTGTATAGTTTTATTAATAAGAAAGTATAATAATATTGAACTTTTCCAGTTTTCTTAGCAGTGGTTGGGTGACTGTTGTTGCTAAGACCATGCGGGAAATTTACGATCACGATATTCCTCCTAGTTACATCGAGAGGTTAGTTCCTTCGTAATTTTAATTTATGATCAGTGAAATGTTGTAATCCTAATTTCTTGTTTGTTTGAATATGATTAAGAACATAAACTGATTTGTTAATAAGCATTGAATTTATTTGCAGGATTGAGAAGCTGGAATTGTTAGATGAAAAGATCTTACTTTCACAACTTCTTGAACATTACTGCTTTGTAATTGCTTCGAACAGTGATCATGTGCTTAGTTTTGATTGGCAGTGACGAAAATTGAAATGAGCATACAAATAATAAAATTAAGTAAGGAAATAAATTGAAAAAGTGTTAGAATGTTTCAGTAGAACTTATAATTCTTAGAAATATCTTCTCGATTGTTAACGCTTTCACATTTCGGTGAATATTGGTATTTTTGTTGGCATTTTTTGTTAGTTGTATTATTTATCGAATTTCGTAAGAGATCGTTGACTCAAACTTTCTCGTAAATGGTTTTTGTTTTCCTTATATTTTAGCATCTGTTTCCACGTAAAGTATTTCTAAAATAATTTGCATTGACTAAAAAATATTTGTATCTATGCATGCAGAGATAAAATTCCAGCTTTTGATAAGAAGATGTGTTGGAATATTTTGGTAGAACTTATAATTCTTGGAAATATTTTCTCGATTGTTTAACCAATCCATTTTACTTTTGTTCTGTGTTCGAATAAAAGTGGTGATAAATTATTGATATGTTTTAATTCTTAATGAGTTAATAATGACATACTTCTACATACTCATTTTTGTAACTCAAAATTATGTTTGAAAGGAACGGCTCGGCTTCTGACATATAGAAAAAGCCCAATTAGCATATGAGAAAAAAATCGTCTTTTTCATACTGATGCAGCAAGCTTCAGTGAGCTAGTTTTGGGGTCATTGTTTCGTAGCTACTATTAATATAGCCGGAAGTGTTTGTGAAGTTGCACATTTAGTTGTCTTTGTTTTTCAGAGTGGGTTGAGAGTTCAAGGGAGTTTGTTCTTCTGATTGGTTTTTGTAGTGACGCGTCATAATTTTCCTATATGAATTTTAGGAGCTGGGAAGTATGTATGTAAGTCTTGATCAAGCGCAGAAAGAGTTCCAAAATTTGATTTATCGAGTAGAGCCTAAAAAGGTGGCTGAATTCCTTGATTGGGTTTCTCAAAGCTTTGTTGTTTCGAATAGCAGTAAGTCTGTTTTCTAGTTGAATGTAGTCAGTAAAAATTTTATTCGATAAATTCATCTTGGAGGAGTTTTTGTAGGTTATGAGAGTGGCAGTACTGAATTTGATGATAGCGGCCCTTTATCAGATTCTGATACTTTGATGCGACAAATAGCCATGGATATCAGGAACGAAGTAGTCGTTTCATTTGATCGACAAAGAGATTTTTATCTGTTGATGTTTTTATTTTCATGATATGCTAAATGGTATTTCGAACTTTCTAAATCAAATCCACATTAAAAATCATGTTATATCTTTAAAGTCATGAGTAAGGCAACAATATTACAATCAGTTTTACTTACACTGAAGACAAATTCTGGAAATATTTATTCGTATGTAGTGTTTTGCAAATTTTTACAAAATATTAGAGCTTATGGTGTGTTTCTAGATTTTTTGTCATTTTTGATTTTTGCTTTTTCATTTTTATTATGTGTCGTTTAGTTGCCCGTAACTGCCGAACTACCCTCAGAAGCACTGTTTCTGCAGCAAGCTGGATATGATAGTGATACCACAGTTAGTTTATCCATATTTCTCACTGATTAATGGACGGTTTATTTCAAGTTGCAATTTGCTTTCAAGTGTTCAGTTTGGATTCAAAATATTTATAGGTGCATGTTGATGCGTTTTTGTACGATGACGAAGATGTAGATGTTTTGGTGGACGATGGTACTCTTAGTCGAGATTACTGCGCTCAGTGTGGTTCGAGAAAAATTTTGCCTTTAACATTCATTTCACACTCACTAAGTATTGACCAGGTATCAGAAGTTCAATTATTGAACATTTCTTGTATTTTTTGTACAGTAGGGTTTTTGAAAAGACATCTTTTAATTCAAAATAAAATCTGCAGCTTCGGTATGCATTCACGATATTAGTCCCTCTAAATAAGGAGATGAAAGATATTCTGGTTGTTGATGTTGGTTCGAGACTAGGTGCAGTGTTGTACGCTGTTTATAGCTATGGGTTGGTCTATGTTTTCAAACACTGCAAGTTATAATGAAATCACCTTTATTGAATTGAACTTACTCATTAATAACAGATCTACCAAAACAGCATTTTGTATATGTTCTTTTTATAATTATAATCTTCAGTAAAGGGCTTGTGAATGCAATCGGTATTGAAATGAATAAGCAATTTTGTGATCTACAACAGAAAATGATAGAAATGAATGGCATGAGTAACAATATAAAAGTGAGCTTAAATATGAAACTTCTCACTTTTTTTATTTTATTGCACATAATTAAGACCGTATATCTATTTCAAATTAAGCGTAATTTATATAATAAAAAAATAAGTAGTCATCTTATTGTAATTATCAAAATATTAATTTTCAAACGATTATTTTATTTTCCTATTTAATTTCTTTTATTGTCAATGAAAATTATCAGTGATCATATAGTTGTACAAAACTCAGGAAAACAGCTATTTACATTGGAAAAAATTTAATAATTTTTTTTCCTGAGCTACATTACATTATATTTAAATTGTATCTAGGAAACCGTTTTCTAATTCCTATTGTATAATTGTGTTTCGATTCATAATTAATCTCTCTTTCGTATAATTGCTATGTTTCGATTCATAATTAATTTCTTTCAGGTTATCCACGATGATGTAAGGCAACAGAAGCAAGTGGTCAGTTCTGCTGATGTTGTTGTGCTAAACAACGTATTTTCTTTCTTTCTTTCAACATCGGACCAGGTGCTTTCGAAAAATTTTATTCTAAAAATACTGTCGAAAACAATTAAATCAACTTTTCTATTTAACAATCTGACCTTCAATTACAATTACAATATGACACACTTACTGTATCCAAACTAAATGATATCGTAATACTGAGCTTAATTCTGCGCTGGATTTCCCTTTTCTAAGTAGAGCTAAAATATTTAACTAAGTAGAGCTGGAATATTTAACTTGTCTTTAATAGAGTTTGTAAGTTTCCAGTTTATTTTCAGGTAGATTGCTGGGAATTTTTACGCAAGACGATACGTCCAGGTGCTGCTATTATATCGTGTCCGGATATTGTGACAGTGACCAATAAATTAGTTCTTTCATTTCACATATCCGATTGGGTTGAAAAAGTTGGTTGGAAATTTTTTTTGTATTCCGTTCTTGGTAGAATTTTGAATTTGTTTGAAATTTATCAGTTTCAGTTAACTTAATAGCAACCCCCAAAAGTTATTGCGTTAAATGAAAAGCATTCCCATTGTAATTTTAGATTGAAACCGGTCATTTGGCTGCTCGGTATGCAGGTGTTAATGCGGATTTATTTGAGGACTGTGAGAAATTAATGCTTTACAGAGTAAAGAGTTGAAGCGCTAGAATATTCGACTTCAAACAAAAAAAAATTACATCCCTCGGAAGCTATAATCAACCTTTCCATTAAAATTGTAGTGCTAAACATTCTGAATGACCATGTTGATATAGTAAATATTTTGATGTTAAGAATGATTATTAATAATAATTTCAAGTGAATTATTGGGTGAGGAAGTGATTTTTCCATGAAACTAGTTTGAAATAAAACAATTTAACGAATTCAAAACAAAACTGTCAAGTTTGAGACAAACAATGAAATTCCTTTTTGATTGACACATCGAACTAAACAAATGATAAAGTTTCAAAATATACTTGATTGTTGAAGTAAAATTTTCCTCTCATATCGTTGTTTTCGGATGAAATATCGAGAATTTACTTGAGGAAATCAGGAAGATCAGCATGGCCGACTTGTTATTAGATAACTAAACAAATGTCCACATTCTTCACTAGCCAACTCCCATCGGTCTTCATCTCGCAATACATAGTGTATGCTTAAAGAAATATTTGGAAATAGAAAAAGTCAAATTATCAAATATAGAGAATAGAGAAAAGAAATACCTTGTTTCGTAGTCCATCACCATTCCGTTTATATTACCACTAAAGTAATATGTGTCTCCGACTTTAGGTTCCGGACATCGAATGTTGCATGTTCTTAGCCACACTTCAATCCGATCTACATGCAAAGTAGTTATAAGGTTTTGAAATAATCTCGTTTTCTAACGTAGAACAACAGAGTGCATTTAAAGAATTTCTTCTACCACACACTTGCAGTGAATACTACACCATCTTTATTAAATTGCCCAGAAATCTGACCAACTCAAATCCTACTTCGATCTCAATCATCAGGATTTACTTATGTTTGTATTTTTGTTTTCATATAATATTGATATAAAGAGGAAAGTTGTGATATGTATTAATGCATAGCTTAATATCATCAGCTGCTATTTATGGGTTATTATCAAAGTTAATAATCTGAAAATGATATTACCTGGTTTTCGAATTGATGATTTCATATCTTTTTGCTTCCAATGTTTTAGCGATACATCAATCACAAAATATTCCGAACTATGTAGTTTTTGTGTACTATAATTTTCCACTTCCACTGTACTTCCTGAAGTTGTAAATTTGAGCAATTATGAATAACATATCTCTAAATCCAGTTTGATCATTTCAGATGAATATCATTCGTTTTGTAGAGTTACTTTACGAAATAAGATTTATCTTAGGTCATCTGTAACGTATTGTAAATTACGAATGGTTTTATTTCATAGCACAAGCAGGTTTTAACTAAAGTGTAAAAGTAACCAAAAGTATTTTCTGAACACAATTCATTTTGCAAATGTGTTCTGTTAATACTGTGACATTGTGAGCAACGAACAGCACAACTGGCCTCAGCACAAGAACAAGTTCGATCCCAACAAACCATATCGATAGCTTCTTCTAAAGTCGATCGTTTATACCTTTCCGTGTATACAAGCAATTCTTGACCGGCGATTCCTGCAGATACTTTCATTATCTCTCAGGCAAATATTATCATTCTTCATCTTTGGCTTAATATCTTTGAAAACTCTGAAAATTTTGTAATTCTATAATTTTGTTGATTAAAAAGTTAATGTTTATGTCGTTAATGTGAAAATTTTTGGAAATTTTCTGCCGAAGTTTCATTGCTTACATAAGAAAAAAACTAGCTAACCAGCAGAATATATAATGCACAGGATGACAAAAGTATTATTGGTACTTAATTCTTTTACTGACCCTTAATTTTTGGTTCAGTTTTTAGCAAAATATGAAAAGCAACCAAAAAAAGGATGTCGAAGAGTGATAGCGACAGGGGCCAACTGATCTGGTTCGTATATATTTTTAGGCTCTGTTAATCCAAGTTCATAACATATGGGAACATTCGGTTTCAGCTAAATTTCAGCTAATATTAAAAAATGTCTAAAAAAGGAATTTTTAATATGGTGATGACAAAAATTAAAAATGTGCAAACTTGCACAAAAAGTTGCTATAAATACAAACATTAACAAGCACGAAATGCACGGCATAACTGCTGACTGTAATCTGATCCCCAATGCGAACTCCGTATATTGTACTGTTCTAGAATTAACTTGTAATCAAATTTGTTCGTCGAAAATCGAAAATATCAATTTTCGTATTACCTTCAATAATATTTCGAGCTAATCTTACTCCAATCTTTGATTGCAATCCGATTTCTTGGCTACTACAGAACGAGCAATTATCTTCGACAGACTATCAGCAAAATGATTCATATTAATATGCTAAACTTGCTTGAAAATAAGCCAAGAATTATGCTAGATTTTACATCTTATGATAATATTTGATAAAGTTTTTAACGATTTCACCTCAAGTAATCGAAACTGTTTATTTGAAGAAGTAAAACCAGTAAAAAGACCATGCGTTACTTCTAGTGATTCAATTACAGGCGTGGAAATTCTGAAAGTACTAAAATCTGTTTGAATGTCCTAATAAACAATACTATGAACTATTTTCATAACTAATGATCAAAAATGCAATTTCATCCATACATAATATATATTTATTTAATTTATGAATGATCTCTTCCATGCACATGTATATTTAAAAAAATGAGAATGCTGTAAATTTGTATTATACGCTTCCCAAAACCACTACACCCATTCCATTTATAGTAATCAGTTAAGAATAGTCTAAGAATCGTCTATAATATTTGACTATTCGAAGATATGACCACAAAAAACATATCAGCTTCAATAGGCGTAATTAAGCATTTGAAAATGAATTACTAGAAATTAAACAATTAGAATAAAAATTATGAAAGCAATTACTTTAAGCAAACAATTTGTTGAATGATGCCTGGATTACGTAAATATTGAGCAACAGAAATAATGCATGGATAAAAGTCATTCTGCTCTAAGCCTCTACGCATTCGCATCCTTTTTGCAGCCCAAATTCGGATACCCGTACGAACTTTCGTGACCCCTTCTGTGATCAACGTGATATTACGTACTGTCACCGGTAACTGCAAGTTTGAAGGAATCAAAAAATGTATATAATATTATTCATTAATTTTATTCTCATATGCTTCCAAAATAAAAATCATTCAAACAAATTTAAAAGTAGAGAATAGAAGTTGAATATCTTAACTGCACTTAATAAGTACCTAATAAGAATAAAAATTAAAATTTCACAAGATTACATTGAAAAGAGACGATCTTGCAGTAACATTATGTATCATCTGCTTGCAATTCTTGCATATAATTGTCACTTTATCCTGTTTAGTGCCATTTGTTCTTTTCGTTTTATGCACTCGATATTCGTAAATTGCTCGATTTGCAAAATATGCATCCTAAAAATGGTATATCGAAGAATATGACTTCTGTAACCAATATTAACTAACGATTTCAATTATTCTCAAGAATTCAACTACTGATATGTTATTGCTACCACTGCTGAAGGTAGCTGAATATTGTCGCTCAGTTGCTCATAAATCCAATCAGCTAGTAGATCAAGCTCAATTGTAGGGAATATAGGTTCCACTCCACGGCTTACGAATGCTAACAGTCCCAATGAATTTGCCAACAAATCACCACTCTAAATAAGCTTTAAACATTGGGAGAAAAAAAATTGCTTTAAAAAAAATCACTTTTTGCTTTAAATTTTCAATGAAAGCATTTTGCATTTCTATTCTGATTCAGAGTGCTGCAAAATCCTTTGCATCTCCACAGTTTAAGTTTATCACAAAAGTAATACTTTACTGTTTATAGCTCTTTTTGGCTAAAAATACTTATAACTTAGCAAAAATATTCCTCACTGCAAACAATTTGATTTGCATTAAAATTCAATTCTGTGCTATTGAAGCACTTTAAAAGTGTTTACTTTTATTCCATAAAAATCTGACTGTTTTGCAAAAGATTAAACTTGAAGTGACCTTTGAAATTCGACGCCCTAAAAGATTGCTGAATCGAGAGCGAAGCTTTGTAAGGATTGAGCCATCGCTCAACATCCGTCCAGCTACCCAATATGGAAGCATGCCATCTACAATATTATCATAAATACATTCAACACAACAAGTTTAGTACTAATGTCAGTTGCAGTCATCCTCACTTGAAATTTTTCACCAAAGTTTTTGATTATTAAAATTTTTAAACATTTCTACAGATATGATCGAAGATCAAGCATAGGATATAACTCTAAAAATTTTCCAACAACCTAGTCAAAGTTATCGTATTTAAAAAAATTTCTAACTTCAAAAGTTATATACTTAGATCAAGAAAGATGCTTAGATCAAAATAAATTTGCGTATTCAATATATAATCTATCAAATTTATTAGATTTTGAAAGCATTTTTTTACTTTCTCCTACAGTAATCTAAATATTATACAACTGTATCTTTGCACTAATTTAGAAGATTTGAATGAAATTAGAGTATACTGTAAACAAACCTTTTACAATAGAATACATTTTAATTCTCATAATACTGCTTACAGATCGAGGTGCCATGTATGCTAATGCAGCCATGGTACGTACATCCAATGTAGCACTGTCTGATAGATTGAAAAAACTCCTGCGTATACTTATCCACGCACGATCATTACGCTAAAAACTTGTTACCTCAAGTAATTTGATACTTACATATATATTATCATTAATTCCTAAAAAAAATTAAACAGGAAAATACTTTTCTTTCGATTTAAGAAAATAATAATAATTTTAACAGAAAATTTACATAAGAATTAATGCTGAAATCATAGCTGATTAAGTGATAGTTTCAAAGAAGTGTACAACAGTTTTCTACATATGAAAGTGATCAAATTTAGGAATAACGAATCGTTTCAAAAAGGAATTAAAATATGCAAATTTTTTATTTTAAAGTCAAAAACTGTTTTGGAAGAAAATTTGTTAGAAACTCTTTTTTTCTGTTTTTTTCCAATTTACTAGTGAAATATTGTCAATGACAGTAAAGTTTTGCTTACGTCTTAAGAAAGAATAATATAAATATTCAGTACATCTAAGCTAGATGAATTGATTACATATGTAAATATGCAAATGTGTAGTAATCAGAGATACTTACCACACACTGATAGGTAGCACAGTCAAAAGATATCTGATTGATCATTGCTAGAACCAGCCAGTACTTATCTTTCACTGTCATCTATAGTATTGAAAAGTTACTATTAATGTACACTGAAGAAAGATATAAATACGAATAAAGAGTAGAAGTGAATTAGTCAAAGCTTACAAAATCCATAGGATTCAAAAAATTGTCTGTTGAATCTTGCAAATTTTCTACGTTTGCTGTTATTTTATTCAACAAATATGTAAGTAGAGGGCAGATTATTCTTTCATCAACAGAAGCTTCACACAGTAAAGAAGTTGACAGTGCTGTCAAGCTGAAACATTTTCAAATTATTTTTTAAAATTTCAAGTTAACTGAAATCGTTTTTCATTTTCATTTGCGCAATTTTCTTAATAATCGTTACAAAAATTGAATCGAAAAGAATGAAAAAACAAGCATACAAAAATGATTCTTGATGCGAATGATTCCGATTTCGGTAATTTGAAAAAGCACACAAGCGAGAATTACTACCACGACAGCTAGAAAATGTTAACATCGCTGACATCACTGAAATTTGAACATTTAATCAAAATACAGATTCCGCATTTTAAAAATATACTGTACTTGTAGTAAAAATTAATATTTTTTTTCACTAACAATTATAAATTAAAATTCTCCGGGCTAGAACGTAGATGGAAGCAAGCATGCTTATATGACTGATTATAGTTATTAAGCACTATTTTTAGATGCAAAATTATGCAATTATCATTTCAAAAAATTGTATGTATTATGACAAATGATTAAAAATTAATATGTAATGCTTCATATATCTGATCATAAGTTTATTTTTAACATTTTGAAATTGAACAGCAAATACGTTACAAAATTTTAATTTAATTAAAGAACTCACATGATCCAATAGTATCATCAAAAGATTCAGATTTTTGATAAGCATATTCATCTAGAAAATGCAGAGATTTGAAGTGATACAAATTCGAAGCTAGTGAGCTTATAATATCAGTAAGAAAAGATTCATGACCCGAAACAGTACTTCTTTTCCATCGGGAATCTAGTCGAGAGCTTATTTCATTTTGCATGATTGAATCTGTTATTAGTGCATCTGATAAAAATTCTGAAAAAAAGGCATGTAAAAATTAGAAGAAATCAGTGGTAATCTTAGTTTACAAGGCATTTACAATATTTACTGAAATAAAATACTTAAATAGCAAAGAAAAATGAATGAAATTATAAAGTCAGTGTTTACTTGCTAGAAAATAAATCTTCATTAGATTTCATAAAAGATCAACTTTCAACTCTAACCTGCCATAATATTCATGATATTCATGACTTTAATATTACTAATTAATATTTACTCTTAGAATCAATCTAGGTAGACTAAAAAACTGATTTATAAAGTCATTTTCCGGAATCATGCACAAATAAGTCTTCATTACAAGCACTTACGAGATAATTCAATAGTAATGCTGTGCACAGATTCAGTATCAGGTAAATTAATACTGATATTTGTATATAATTTTTGTGGTTCATGCTCCGATCGATATTCGCTATAATCTGAAAATCAACAAATAATATTTATCAAATAAAGACAATTTAAAAAAAATATTGTATAAGTTGGAAATAAAACACATTTGACTGCAATATTTTTACAATATTCTTACATTTGACTGCAATTTCTTACTTTTGCAACATTCTTACAAATTAGAATAATAGATCAAAATATAATTCCAATAATATTATCTATCACCGATTATATTTTTTTTCGCATCTTCGATTTCATCTTCTGATGACAACAGCATATGGGAAGATTTCTGTAACGGACGAGTGAGACGATTCAATGGTTTCAATGGATTCAGAATCAAACGCTTGAAGTGCTCTTCAATATCTGCTCTTTTCTATGAATAAATTTGATTTAAAAGATTTTGATTTTCAGACTATTGAAGATCAAATTGAAGAGATTTTGCAAGAAAAATGGTAAATATCATTTATAGATATAAATATTTTAATGTGCGAAATTTCTGCACTTAAAATTTTTAATTAATAAAATTTTTAATTAATGAAAGATTATTTTCATTTTAAGTTTGCATTCATTTCAATTTTCAAAAACTCTATCATTTAAATTATAAGCAATGACCAATTATGAAGTAATTTTAAAAAAAATGAAGAATTTTGTTTTTATTTAAAAAAATGAACAATAATGATGAGAACATATTTTAGTAAAATATTAATATCGTACTTAATATGTATGAAAATTTATTAAATTCAGTACGAAACATTTTGAATACTTCTAAATTAATTATATAATACAATTCTGTTATTACTATTAACTTACATCAACGGTGACTATTAATTTAACAGCATCATAAGTCTTGCCAATATTACAGTGATATCGTCCTGGATAGGATATTTCTTCTTTCAACGTAAATACAACTTCTGTCTTTCCAACACGCAAAAATCTGAACAAGATTTTTTTTTAATTGTAAAAATTATTTACAAACAAATTTAACTAAAAATGACTTCTATAAAAGCAATAAATAATACAAATTGTTTGTTTTTTTCATTGTTTATTGTTAGCTTTTATAAAATTAGGCAATTTAAAATAAATAAATAACCTTAAAGCAAACTCCTTAGCAGAAGTGTTCATTATTGGTGTTAGATAAATCCGATTATAAGCTGGTTGGCCTCGTTCACCATACGCTCCAACGTCACCACAAACGTGTCGATCCAATCCTGCCATACAGACGGAAAACTGCAAGCAAAACTTTTAATTTTCCAGGAATTCAGAAACAAAAAAATTTATCTTTAAACATATATGATTGTTATAGTATGAAATCATTCCGTGTCAATGTCCAGAGTGATCAGAAATTTTTTTTTTTTTTGAACGTTAATTTTTTAAAGTATTCTAGAAATTAACTGAACCGTCATTTCATTTTCCAACTTATCTGCAAAGACTGAGACGTGAGCAGTCACGGATTCATTCACGTAAACATGCTTTGGAAGATTGATATCCATGAAAAATTTTTTTTCAACAGTAACTGTCGATGGAGCACTATAACAAATCGCAAGATTGCCAGGTGTCCATATCGAAGATTGAACAAACCATTGTGTTACTGTATCTGGTACTTGAAACGTTTTATTCAGCTTGCCTGAGGATCTGAATGCACAAAAAAAGTCATTTGGAAAGATAATGTTTTTTGAAAATTGTAAAATTCTACAAACGTTAAATACAACAAAAGTAAAATATTTCACAAAAACAGATAAACTGAGCTGAAGACTTCTTTGACACATTTTGATTGCAAATCTTTCAAAATTTTACTCTAAAATATGCTTTATTTAATTTATTTTTATGAAAAAGTCATTCAATTTCTCCAATCTTTTTTTACTATCAATATTCAGTCTTTCAAGTTGATGAAAGAGTAACGAACCCAAGATGAAAATCGCTAAAAAGCCAAACTTCTGGAAAATATTGTCGAATAACACTACTTAGATCAGTCTGTCGTCGAATTACCTCAAATACAGAATCATCTAGACGTGTTTGGATACGTTTAGATGAACCTGCCATGAGCCAATGCATGTGAGCAGCTGAGAGTTTTATTTCTCCAGTATTATCCACGCTACAACCACGTCCCGTTTTTCGATCACATACTTTACTTGTAGCTAAAAATTATTGCTTAATTTTTTGCAATTTAATTACAGTGTTAACATTAATCATTCATATTAATCAGTGTTATTTCTGATTATTTATTCTGTCATTACTAACCACCTACACTTTCAAATTTTTTCATAAAATATACATTTTTTACATTCCGTGTATATATTCGTTTCTTAATTTAGCAACGTTCTTTAATTATTTATACTGTTTCCAGAGTGCAGTTATATCAAATTACCAAACTATAATAAATATTGACAATTTAAACTTGAAGATTATTATGCTTTTAAAATCAAATTAAAGAAGTTTACACAAATAATTAAAGTTAAGCATCAATTTACTGACACGTTGGACTACTAAGTCGTTCACACGACAAAATAAAAGATTGCAAGCAAAGATCAGAAAGAGCAGATGTTGATTCCATGAAGTTTGGACACGTTTTCAAGTGCTGCAACATGAGAACACCAGCTTCTTCGCAAGTTTCTTCTACAAAGTTTTTCTAGCACACATTAGCAAAACATATTAATCTCAGCCTGAAGATTATTGTTGTCTTAAAAATAAATGTTTCACTAAAACTTCTATTCAAAACTCAAACTTGCACAGTTTGAAGTCAGTTATTTAAAGAATACAAAGTGATCTTTAATGACTTTTCTTTTATATTTGCTTTGCTTTTGCATCAAATTATTTTTACTGTAATTGTTATTATGACGAAAATTTTAAAAGAATACATTTGTAAATAGAATTGCAAATTTTTACTTATTTCGTTATTCAAAAGTCGAGTATCAATAAGGCCAAGAAAAAATGCCTGCGCGGAAACTTCACGCTTCGACACCGACCAATCCCAATACTTTGACGTAGAATGTGATGCATATTTCTGTACAAAAAATAAATTTATTTCTACTACTTATTTGTATTTGCTATTTTACGACTATTTAGTTGGTAGAAATTGTTTGCAATGATACTGAGAGTAAACCTGCATAAGTTCCAATATTCTAATATCTACAGCTGATAGAAGGGCCAAGCTATTTGAAGGAGCAGTTACTGCTATTGTTACATTGTGATTTGTAGTCAGCAATTCTTTAGAAACAGATAACAAATTCTAAAACTTTAGTTTTAGAGCAAATGTGAAATTATTAAACATTCCAAAGTTATTAGCATATATTGAAAAAGAAATTTTCTATTACACAAGCAAAGTAATTCGATTTAAAAAAATTTAAGTGAAACAATTAATTAAATAAAATCCACTAATTACACATATCAGAAAAGCATGAAACTTAATGCTTTGTCCATTTCCTTATTATTCTTTAAATTAAAAAATTAAAATAGATACAGCAACATTTTCAAAAAAATTGCTTTGTAAAAAAGCTTTTGGAACTGAAACATACATCTTTTTTAATTCAAATATTAGGTGCTATAATTTCAGAGTTCATAATTTAAGTGATATATTCTGAAGGTCTTTCTTTGAATATAATCTAGCTAAAACTAGAATGACTGATAAAAAAATAAATTATAATGTTCTCGAGCAAAGAATTTTCTTTCAAACCTGGCATGATGGTTCTACTAAAAAGAGAATCATATCAATTTGCACAGCTTCATTCACGCTAAACACGTACAGCACGCAATATGGTACCATTGCTGCAGTCGTCTCAAACGTGATTTCACCGTCATCACGAGCATGACCAGCTTCTGCAATCGTTTCACCTTGGCAGACTACCTTTAAATTTATGATTTATGAATCTTTAATAAGTTAGAATCGTATTCCAACTATCTCATCATATAATGTATCTGTTGAAAGAAAAAAATCATTCAAAATTAGAGAATTTGTTAACTTTAGCAAAGTAATTTATTTTTGATCGAGTTTTTTTGAATCATTTTTATAAACTTTTACATCAATTTCAGGAAATATATGCAATGATTAATTTTTAATGGCTATGCAAATTCTTTGTAATGAAATAATGATCACCAGATAGTTTAATTTCGTAGCCAAATGCACGGGTACTGAAGCTCGGAATTTCTCACCAACACGATATGTTACAGAATTTGCAAGTGAAGACGGTGACCATTTGACCCAATCTTGTAATATCTGTGAATGATCTAAGGATGGAAGCATTAATGTGATCGCTCTCGACAATCGTCGTCCAATTTTACGCCGAGCCTAAAATATAATTTTTAAAGTCCTTGAATTTTTAGAATCCATCCATTACATTTTTACGGTAAGAAATGAAAATTAACCCTGAAAGTATTAGTAGATATTACTTTAAAAATAATTCACGAATTCATTAACAAAATTATACTTCAGTGTCTGCATTCAAGTATAATTTTCAATTTGATTTCAAATTTACTTACTTGAATTCATTTGAAAACAAATGGTTGTGTTCTGCATGCGGTTTTAAAGTTGTAATTTTATTAAACCTTTCATTCTTTTTCTGTGTGCTTTAATATTTGAGTATTAATGAATGAAGTAATAATATACAATTTTTTATAGCGATTATTGCAGTTCAGAACTGATATAATAATTCAAATAATTGTTCCAAATGAAGACAATAGCGCATTTACTCAAAGTTTTTTCAAATATTTATTTCTATTTCAATTGTAATGTTGTAGACGTACGTGACTGCAAATGTGGCTCCGTTTAAAATTTGCATAATGTTTAATTTTCTTTGCTTGTTTTTGCTTTATTGTTTTGTTTGCATTCTTTAAAATTGCTTTCATTCAAAAGCCACAGGCAATTTTTTGCTTATTATGTATGTCAACTCTTTTACATATTTATTTATATATATATTTAGAAAGAAAATTGTTGAGATTAGTTTTCGTTTCCGCTTTATTGATTCTGACACTGATCGTATCCAGTGTTCTGGCTGCACTTGTCCCGCGCTCAGATTTATTGTACTCATCGTTCTCGTGGAATCCATATCGACTGTCGAAGGAGATGCTTTCGAGTGTCTTCTTGAGAACTATCGATTAGATGTATGCCTCGATGGGCTCTGATATATTAATCTCCTTCGCATAGCGTTTGTGGAAGTTCGTTAAAATCCCACCCTAAGTCATCACATAGCTTGAACATCTTAATATGATGGTTTATTAAACTTATGCCATGCTCATTCATCGTCTTCATAAAGTTTTTTTCATCTAGTGCAGTTTTGCTAGTCGCTCAGCTCTCACTAAAATCTTTATTTGGACTTTATCGTAGCTTTCACGGTAGGTGCACTAGTCCTGTCTTCCACTATTCCAAGGTATAAATACATTTGTAGTTTATTCATTGCAGTACTTTTTTGTACCCTTGAGTTCCTCCCAATAGCGTCTAATACCGAGACATGTGCTGCTTTATCAGCGCATGTCTCGGTATTAGTAGCTGACTTTGCTGAATTTACTTCCAGTCCTACCACATCAAGAAACCTTCCAACTTCTTATGCCACAGATTTCATGATATCCTCCTCATCGGTCTCAAAGATCTTGAGATTATCCACAAACAACAAATAATTCTTAATGTGCATTCCTTGGTCAGTTGGAATCGCCACTTTTGGATACCTTATATATATATTGCAGTACTTTTCATTGCAGTACTCTTCGTAAATATGTTCCAGTGTGCATGCTAATGGTAGATATTGTCTTTTTTAAATTATAAGTCTTGTCTTTATAAAAAATCAAAAGAAGTCATCAAATTGCATCAAATTGCTTTTCATTATCATTCTGAAATTTCTGCTCAATTTGACTTCATAATCATTAAAAGATTGCTAAAAAACTAACTCTAAACTAAAAATGTAAATATTTACTCACTTTGTGCCATTAATTACTTTCTCGAAACATTAAAGTTATCAAATTAAATGATTAACCGGAAACTCATAGACTATTTTTCTTTGCTAGAAATAAATATATTTGCATAATAATAGATAAAAGCTGACCTGTAAAAGAAGTACTCGGCAGTTATGCTCGTACAAATTAGGCGTAAAAGGAATGATTAGAAAAGATTCCGTCTTTCCTTCATAACTATTTAATGTAATACTTTGAGTTTTATCCGTAGAAACACAACGTACGTCGACTATGACATCTTGAACTTTCGTCAAGCGTCTATCTATTACTTTTATCTAGAATGTGGATAGTCTGATAAAAAATTCCAATTTTACACAAATGTTATTTTTTGTTCTTTGTCTTTACACATTTCATAAAAAAATATGCATATTATGCAAATATCAGCTTTAAAGAGGAATACTACTTTATTTGCATTTCGATAAATTTAATTTCTTCATTTTATTGTTGGTTTTTTTCTGACAATTAGTCGAAGAGTGCTGTTAAGAATACAAATATATTTGTAGATGTAAATTAATAACGTAAAATTGCGTAAAGTTTGCAAATTTAATATTACTTTACCAGTATTGGAATAGAGGATAATCCACGATACAAACCAGGCCTCACAGGAATGAGTTCAAAGCCTGCAAGATTATTTTCGATTTGCACGTAACTTTTCACGCGTTGTCCTGTGCCTTGCTCTAATACTTCAGCTATAAGCTTGATAGAATCTGTTGATGTAGAAATTTCTTCGTCCATACATTGATTTATTCTTACACGTTCAGACCACTGTCCAGAATTAAACTGAAATATCAAATTTGCTTGTATATTTGTGGTAATAAAAATTTTTGCAGTTATCAGTAAAAAAATAGCTGATAAAATTTCATTTGTAATGAAAGCTTAATTTGCATATATAATAAATTTTTTATTGCTAAAAATGAATTCTCAACCGTGAAAGTAACAAATGTTTCACTGTTATACAGAAAAGACGCCATAATTACTTTTTCTTTTTGATAAAATTTTAGAAAATGCAAAAATTTGTAAAAAAATATTTAATAAAAATAACTTTTTGACGTCATTAGTATAACAAATATAAGCAACTATTTACTTGCTCATTATTTTCAACCATTTGCTATACTTTAAAGTATTTACAATTAAAGTACATCTCAAATGAAGATATGCACATGCATACTTACATATACATATATTTATATTCATACTGTAATTGCAAGTTTTTACTGCTTTGTTTCCCAGAAAATTTAATGAAACTTATGATTATTCATCATCATCATTTTTTAAGGTCATCAAGTGTTTCTGGATATATTTTAATAAAAAGTAGACGGCACATGGGAAAAGTTAGAGATGATCTGAATAGTTCCCAGCAGTCATTCATTTCAAGCATTCAGCTATTTCATTAATAATTACATTTTTAAGCTTTTGATGAGTGCTTAACTTTAATAACCGTTATTAAAGTTATTATTTTTATTAAAGTTTTAAGAAAACTTTTTTATATGTTTATGTTCATTTCTGATATTTGCATTGTTTTTCTTGCACAATTAAGATAATAGTGCAATTTTATATGTTACTTTTTTTGCATGAAAAGTAATGACTTTGCCAGCTATTCAATATTCAAATATTATGATGATAACTTTAGTGCTAGTCCTAATGAGTTTGTGATATAAGAGGCTTAACTTAGTCTGTCTAATTTGATAAGATTAAGATTAAGATTACTTGCATACAGTTAACTAGGAAGAGTTGCTTGTTACAAAGTGGTTATATATCAAAATTCTGCTTAAATCTTCAAATATTTCAGCATGCCAAAATAATTTTTTCATATTTTTTATTATATTTTCTACTTGTTAAAGTAAATTTTAGGAGTGCTTCTTTTAAAATATTAGTGGTAATTTAGTCTAAAAACACTTTATAAAACTTTTCATTTGTTCGCTATTGAATTAGCTAGAAAATATTGAAAATTTGACAACAAAAACTATTAATAATTCATCTTTTTGTCTTCCAAACTTTTTGCTTACTTTCAGCTGAATTTTTTACAATAATAATTGTATTTGCAAAGTAGTCGATAAATATTTGAATTCTTTTCCAATAAAACCAATATTTTTGAACTATTAATATTTTATTTTTTTATTATGAACATGGAATGGAATTGCCACAAGCTAATCACTACTTGCAAAACTTTTCTGTAACTAAAATGGAAAAAAATATCGCACGCAATTAGTGAAGCGAAGAAATAAATTGAATTTTCATTATGAATAGCTACGATTTTAATTCAGTCGCTTAACGATCTTTATGTGATGGAAGATTTTGTGAGTAATTCTGATACAACTTCTGAGGAAAATCTGATTAAACTATTTGTTACTTTATGCTTAAAAGTTAGAACTAATAAGATTAAAAATATTGCTAATTAATAATAATAATGATAATAATAATAATAGCGCTAGAATCAATAATGAAAAAAAGCAGAATAACCTCAATGTGATATTGATTGATTATTTGATTAATAATAATGACAATAAATAAAAATGATAGTTATAGAAATAATAATAATAATAATAATAATAATAATAATAATCAAAATGCCAATACTAATAAGGTAATAATATGCATGTTTTTGATGAATTTGAAAGAAAAATTTTTATGCAAACACTCGCATAAAACAGTAATTCAGTGAAAAAATGGCAAATTAACAAAACCATTTTTTTGGTTTAATTTTTGGTTTGTATAAAATCATTATATTGAGCAAAACTAATAATTTCAGTTGGATAATTGTCTTTTACAAAATAAAATCAAAATAATAATGATAACATGCAACATATACAAGATATAATTAATTGAGCACTGATTTAAATCAGATCAATTTTAGCAATTATTTACATGAGATCTATATAATTATTGACTATCAAAATAAAGTAATCAATAGATAAGATAATTATTGATGAAACAAGTAATGCCAAACTATAAGATAGAAATGATTGCAACTACGGATAACAGCACAAGTTCACATCTGTCATTATGTTGCAGGCAGTGTTATATAATTATTATCAAAATTATTTTGATAATAAGTACAAATTCTCGTACGGTCATCGGTTTTCGGCGGAGCGAATAAATCATTTGGCGTAAGTAAGTCAGACTTTATTTCTCTCACTAGTTTCTTCGCTGTATTGGCCGTAATTAAGCCAGAATCTCTAAATCCATCTCCATAATTTTGTAATATTTGCTGTTTCTGCATTAATAACGTTGAAGGATAGTATGTTGTAGTTGATAATTGTTGATAACATTGCTGTTCATATTTTGCTATAGCATCAAATCCATTTTCGTCATCAATTTTCATACTTGCCAAATAACGATTGATAATACGTTGTTGAACGGATATTTGCTCAGTTGTCGACAAATTCCTACAACTACTTTTGTTATGGATTCCGTTAACGGAACCGTAAATCTTAGCTTGTAAATCACATAATTTGAACAAACTAATGCTAAATTATCAGTAATACTAGAAAAATTAATAATCGTATGCTTGCATCGTCATCATTCATTTTATCAGTGCTGCTAAGCGTCGTTTACGTGTATCTTACACATTACTCTCGAAAAAATTATTTTCTTCGTCATTTTCCGAGAAAAATTATTCTACTCAAGAAGACATATATATATATAAATGCACCATGCTTTATTTTCTAACTAATAGAGATCTGCTAATATCAGATATATTTTTTAAATAATGCATTAATTAACATATTATGACATATGTGATCAATCATCTCTTTATATCCATTTTATTCCAACTTCACTAATTCATTCGATTTGCCATTATTAAGTATTTTTCGCTAATAACTGGAATTTTTCACTGTGTCACGCACAAGACTTTTTCCTTTCAAATGTATTTTGCAATTTTTTAACGAGAAAAATTAAAAAGGACTAGGAAGTTTAGGTGTCTAAATTGAGTTAATTATAATTCTCAAATAATAATAATTATCTATCTGTCCGTACTATCTATCAAATAAGCAATTGCTTTAATATCAGCACATATAAATATAAGCAGTAAATATAAACTGAGAGTAAATTAAATCAGCTGAAACAATTTTCTTCAAAAAAGTATAACCAAATGTGGCATGAAATTAATTTCTTGATAATTAAAAATATTCAAGCAATACTCTAATAATGCAATTACTTTGAGAATTAATATTTTAATCAAAATAATAGATTGCAGTAAAATATGCATAGAATCGCGCATTTCTGAAGAAAAAAATAGTAAGCAGTAATAAAATAATCATTATTTAATAATGCTAATTTACTATTAAAAAAAACATTGACTAATTTATCGTATAACTTAAATAGCAATAATGATTATAGACTATGAAATTATTTCAAAAGAAGAACAACTGGAAGATACAATAAAAACTAATACTTGTAATTAAGATTACGAATGTCAGATTCAAATTATCTATTTTTTACATTCACGTAAAAATCCGTGCAATAACTTGCCTTGCAAGAGCTTTTTGTATTCAAGTCACGTAGTTGGAATATTTGAGTCGTATATTCTGTTAATCAGTTTTCGACATGCTTTTCATAATATAATCATTTCTTATAATTGAGTCATTTGATTTGCTTCAAATTTCAGATCACTTCATTTTATCTTAACGCATCTTTTTGATCAGATTAAAAGTCATCCAAATGACCTTCCAATCCTTGTTTTTCTTGAGTCCACGAAAACTGTACAGTCAGCTCGTTACTGTCTACCACATTTCTACATTTTTTATTCCGTTTCTACTTTTTCTGATAATAGCTGCTGACTTATTGTATACTAAAATTTCTTTACATTTTCTTCTTGGCTTTTCAAATTTTCTATTCCAGTCATTGCAGCACTTCGTCTTTACTTTAACTTGCAATTATCCACTCTTTCCTTTTCATAATTGTTTTCAAACTCAATTAATTCCTCTTTTCTTACAATAAAATCAATGTATTTTACTTGCATTTCATCGTTATCATCAAATATGCGAACCATTCCGATATACTTTGATAACACTTTCTGCTTATTTCTAGTCGTTCCAGTAACCACTACAAAGTGTCTCTTGAAACAATCACAGATGCTTCTTACATATCATATTACTTAAATAAGACTTGTAGCGAAGTAATATATTCATACTTAATTATGGCAAAAATGGCAATATTGATTAAAAGGTAAAATAAGTATTGTAATATCATAAAAATATGCATGCATGACAAAAAGCAAGCGTTTTGCAAGCAATTAATTAGAATCCATTTTAATCAAGCAAGAAATAATTACTTAATGAATATAAACTCCACATATGAACTAAATTTTAATTTTCTTTTTCGTGCTTCCATGCTCAGCAGTAGAAATTACAATTCTCTCATGAACTAATCATTTCAAAGCATAATTTCACATTTAAATTTCTGATAATAGTAGTTAAATCTCGTCAAAGTTTAAACGTTTGTCTACTTTTATACACTACGCCTTAAAAAGAAGACTCAATATTTTCAAAGTTTGTTCGTCAATTTTTAATTAAAAATATTTTTCACAAACATGAAATTTTAATTTGATAAATTGTTCCATCTTAGATAAATTGCTTAGAATCTTAATTTTATTTTTATCACAGAATAGGGTTTTAATTTTTTATAATTGTCAGGCTTCTCTATCAAAAAAAACAAATTAGTAGACAGGCAAACTGAATAAACTGATCGAGTATGCTGTGAACACATACAATTTACGTAGACGTGTCTGTACAATTTTTTAAGCGTTAAAAAAATAAATTTTATGAACTTTTGTGCACATTTTTTGCACTTTTTCCAAGTAACAATTATATATCTTATAATGTCATCAGAATTTTTGCAAAAATTTTAAAAAAAATTTACTGACAACAAAAAATTTGCATCAAACGCATTTTAAACAAGACAAAGTTCGCTTTTCATAACTTTTCAGTCAAACTATAAATTGAGTACTTTAGAATACAAAAGACACGTTATTACCTTGTTGGTGGTGGTACAATTGGTGCACGACGAAAGTAAGGTGTATCAGGTAATAAATGATAAGGTGCTGGTAAATTTAGAAATTGATTCTTTTCTTTACCGTTATTCCAAGATATTCTATCGCAAAAATGATTAATCTAAAATTGATCTTTTTCCAACTAAAAATAAGATAAACAATAATAATGATAATAATTATAGTTATAATTATAAATATAATAATAATTATAATCATGATAAATAACAATAGTGTTAGTAATAACAAAAATAAATAGATGCATGGTGATAATAATAACGATAGTATTAATAATAAAATAATGAGCTTTGACATATTTTCAAACAGTAATTTGTTTTGATTTTAATTAATATGTTTTGTTCTTAATAAAACTGCAAAATTTGTTACTTTTCTAAACTGTTAAATAGTAATAACTAGTCATGCTCCCACACACCTCAGATTTATTATTAATTTGAGAAATTTGCTTCAACAAAAGAGCGGTTGCTGGAGTTGGTCGATTTCTCGGACGTTCCGGGGAAGGCATGTATTCATTGAGATTTGTTATGTTGGTGCTACTTTTGTTATCATTACAACTTTGCTGATAATTGCTAGTACTTTTGTTCACTTTACTTTGCAATATATTCCCTGACCCACACAACCGTTTATCGTCTTCCTTTGCTGTAACGGTAAAAAGTCTCCTCAATTTATCACTTGATCTCCTTTTCCAGCATTTTTGAGTAATAATAGTATTATTTTTGATACTAATATTAATATCAATAGTAATAATAATAATAATAATAATAATAATAATAATAATAATGAATGGTGATGAAAACTATAGTTCTTGCAGTAACATAACAAAAAATTTCATTAAATCAAATATTGTGTTTGCCATTTCTTTCAGACATCAAATCACAATTTCATATTACGTTCAAAGGTTTTCTAATCCTATATTTCTGTACCATCCCTAATATTTGCACATACAATTTTCGAAAAAAAGGCTATCCAATATTTTTTTTTCAAATACTAAAAGTAAAAAACAAATGAAGTCATACATGGACAAAAATTGCAGCCTTCGTCATTAAAATCATCCAATTTGCTTTTAAATAATAAGTATGGTTGTTTGGGACACCAAAGTTTCAGTATTCTTCCCTCCATCGTCAACTTACTTCCCCAAATCTTCAAACTTTTTTTCTTCATTTTCTTGAACTAACTAATCCATGCAAAAATGTTACATTCTATGTAAAATAAACACGACAAAAAAAGTTCAGTCTAAAAGATTAAGCTCAGAAATTTTATATTTGCTTAAAGCTTAGAAACCATCGGGCAAACTTTCTTGAATACAACACTGCATTGTGACTGACTATTTTCTACTCTGTTTACTAATCAAAAAAACTAAAAGTTTAAATTGCGAGCAAAATTTGAAAAAAATACTAATAAAAATGTTTTAGAATGTGTATAATAACTTAATTCAAGACAATAGCTTTGAAAATTTTTATTTTATTTTCATTAATACCTTAATAATATTGTCTTTTTCATTTTCATTACTAAACTCTATAATATATCCATCGCTGCCATTTAAATGAGCCCATTCTACTTCTTTTACTTTTCCAAATCTATAATTTTCCACTAATTTTATTATTTAAAAAACATAAATATATTTGCTATTAAGTATTTGGATGCTTGTATTTTTTCACTGTAAAATTTTTGTAATTACATTGTAACAAAAAATATTGAATGAGAGAAATAAAACATTTGATGGATTTCATTTTTCTTATTGATATATATATCAATAAGAAATTTATTTATATATATATATGTATATTTATTTATTTATTAATTTTGAAAGCTCACGTTATCAATTTAAAAAAAGTATAAAATTAGCTTTTTTATGATTAAATTTTTATGTCTGCAAAATTTTATAACACATAGAAACTTTTTTCAAATTTAATGTCAATTTTACATGTTTTGAATTAGATTTTTAAGCTATAATTAAAAAAAGTAAAGCAAAAAAGTATTTGGAATGGCAGAAGGAATTGAAGTAAAAAACTAATTAACATAAGGATATTATTCGACAAAATTACATAAACAAGTCGTGCACATATGCAATTACAGCTTGTGTTAAGTAAATATTTAAGTTTTACATATTATAAAAACAATATTTTCAAGTCAATAAGCTTAACAGTAATATGAAAATAGTGAGAGATAAACTGATATCAAATTCAAATATTTTGTCGCAAAGACAAACTTCAAATAAATTCATAATAATAATAATTATTTTTAAATAATGAATATGATTTTGATGAATGTTATATAAATTTTTGTAAAAATACAACAAACCGTGAAAATATTTGAACTACTTCATTTCTCGATAATAAATTTCCTGATAACAATGTTGCAAATACAGAAGTGGACGGTTTATATTCTATTGCGCATCCATTATAATAATTCCCGGAAGTTGATGGTTTCGGTTCATCATTGTCATTATTACTATTACTATTACAATTATTTTCATTGTAATCACCAATATTAGCATTATCATCGCTATTATTACCAGCGTAAAATGATGATAAATCACTTTGATAAAAGTGAGTAGTTGCAGGACCATCAGCACCAGCAAGAGATTGCATCAAAATGTTTGTATTTGTAATTTTTTGCGGATTTCTTAAACTAAGTATTAAATCTCGAATACTTCCAACAGTTTCATCTTCATCAATTCTTAACAACTGGGCATTCATAATATCGATGCAGTTAAATGCAGCTTGAAATTGATGACTTTTTGATGGGGTCATACTGGATAGCAAAAATTGCGAATTTTTGAATGATGGCAACAGAAAATTTGCTGGCTTTCTAAATTGACAAAAATTGCAATTTTCATACAAATCATTCATTTTTTTCTTCCTTCTTCGTTTTCTACGCTTTCTTTTTTTCTTAGATGCTGATGATAATGGAGATAAAATGCACTGAGACATCACGCATGCGAATAACAAACTCTTCCAGTCTGCCACTTCTGCTACAAATATAGTAAAATCCGTGTAAACAACCGAGTACTCTCTTCAACACATCTAATAATGCCAGCTATTTATGCAAAAAAAATTTATATTTGCAAAATTCATTTTATTTAATTAATTAATTTGCATGTTCAAAAATTAAAGAATTTTAACACAATATGCTGAAATTGCTTATAAAGTTTTGCATAAATAGGACTGATTATTTATATTGATAATGCATGCGATTTTAATTGTTATATTTATTTTATACAGCAAAAGTAATACTTTGCTTTTAGTAAACTTGACAGACTTCATTTCTATTACGTATTTTATACTTTTTAGTTATTGTATTTTGTGAAAGCATAAATTTGATAACAAACTGATAACAAAACTTCCGAAAAAATTCTATAAATCAATGCATTCAGCAGTTGCTATTGCATAACTAACGTATTTGAGGAAATAATAAAAATGCTGAAAGAGACTAATTCTTGACCGGATTTCTACTTATCTATAAAGTAATTAGTGATATTCTCAACAATAGTCTAAGTAACTTTTTCTGGAAAAAAATCAATTTGTTTGTAAAGTAAAATCTCATCTCTGATCATTAATCAAAGTTTAGAGCTGAAAATACGATTGGCACTTAATTTCCAATTTTAATTCCATTTTCATCCGTTTCAGAACTTTAATTTTAACACTTCAATTAATTTTGTCTTAGAACTTACTTCAGCTTTAGTACAAATTTCAAGGACTCTTACGTTGCACCTTTATCATTTCTGTTTAATATCGATTTGCTATGAATTTTCAAGCCCAATACTTTTTATTTTAATTGTAATCTTCTTGATCATAAGTAAGTTAATAATAGTATCTAATGTATTAAAGAGACAATTTTATAGCTCATATTGTAATTCAAAATTGAATTATTAGAATATTAAGATATTAAAAAAATAAGATTGCTTAAAAAGATTGACTGATTATTATCATATCTAACAATTAAAAATCTGCTAATTAAAAGTCAACGATGTTCAACTTTTACATTTGCAAGCAGTAATACTGACATCATTTATTTGATACAAAAAATGAAAAAATAGCCCTTTTGCCTAATCTAATATTGTTTATAGCAAAGACAGAAGATTGTATATAATCTATAATTATTAATTTGCTGCACAATTTTATTTTACTTTTGTTTTTACAAAGCGAATTAATATAGAATTAACATAGTTTACAATACTTGCCAGTCTTTCACAGTAAAAAATATATTTTCCAGTGAAATTTGTTTGAATTTTTGTTAAAGCCAACAAGTTATAATTGGTATTGTTCAAGTTAGAGATAAAAATTTGCTAACTGAAAATGGAAAAGTTATTTTGATAACTTTTTAATTTAATTCCACCTTAATGAAATTAACTAGTAATTGTATAATAATAATAGTTATAATTATAATAATAATTATTGTTATCGTTATTTATAATAATAATTTTATTATTATTCATAGTAGTAGTAGTAGTGTTAGTTATTAGTATTATTACTTTTTTTATAATATCCTAACAGGAAAGAAATTTAGTGATGAAAAAAACATTTTCATTGCTCAAAGAGCTTTCTAAGAAAGGTTAAAGCTTGCATTTTCAAGTTAGCATATAATAGTTTTTTGCAAAACTTTTAGAATTTTATTTTAAGAACAAAAATTCGTTAATTAGTCATGCAAATAAGTCTTATGCTCGCGCTTATGCTTATCAATTTTCTATTAATTCGTTAATTCATATATTTACACATGTTTACTGTAATTATTTTACTCAGTCAATAATATGACAGTAATATGATAAATTATGCACAAGTTATCAGTTTCTGTATCAGTGTACATGTCCGAATTTTGTTTTTTTTTTCAGTAAAAAAGTTATACTTTCAACATAAATTACTTTTGAACAAAAAGTCATTAAAATCTTACTTACATGGTAAAATAATCGTATCTGATAAAATCGTTGCTAAGAATGCCTCATTTTGAGTAAATTTTAAAATCAAAAATGTTTCTCACAGATATTTGGGATTCTCTTACAAAATTTTATTCTTTTTTATCGACTCATTTTTGTAACATCAATATACTATTTACAAACAATATCATTATAAACTATGCATTATTGATTAATATTTTAAAGTTAGTAATAAAATTCGCTGAAATTACAGTCCTTTCATGAATGCAACATTGCAATCTTCCGAATTATTAACACAAAATTCATTCTCTGCGTGTACAAATGGGACTACAGAAGCTTCTGATTGCTACAATAATCCACCTCATCACTTATTCAGTGATTACGTAGAAATGGCTTATCTATTTTTAGTTATTATCATTAGCACACCTGCTAATGCGCATATTCTGTACAAATTACTTCAAAGTCGAAAAAATGTAAAATCTGATAACATTAAGGTAAGACAATATTTTGCTTCACTATCTAATAAAAAAAGATAAAATTACAATTTTTGGTAACTAAGAAGAAGAATTGAGTAAAGAAAAATTGAACTGAGTAATGTATTTAGAAAATGTCCATACCTTTTTTGATTACTTAAAATTGACACTGAATCTCCACAAAATAAAATTCGCTTATTTATTGCAACAAATTATAGAAAAAGTAAATTTACTATAATTACTTTTTACTAAAAATTTAATAAAACAAAAATTACATATTGATTGAAATGGAATATAGTATGAAAGGATGAAGAAAATAATTTAATAATTAAATCTTTATCATTATTATTATTATTATTATTATTGTTATTTTGCAATTTTATTACTACTACAATCTGGAAAATTTCAGGCTGGTTTTTTGTTATTAAAGATAAATTTAAATATTTCTGACTTACTGCTACTGATATTATTAGCAGCAGGCAAATTCTTCTGGCTTATGACTTACTCCTGGCTCGGTGGAGATATTTTATGCAAAGTATTTAACTTTCTATCAATGATTGCTCTGTACATAAGTTCAAATATTGTCGTTTGCATTGCATTTGATCGTTTCCGTAATGTTTTACACGCAGCAAAAATTAAACGAAACACTTCATTGGTTAGTTAATTTCTAATAAAAAATGAAAAAATCTAATTAATTTTTGTATTTTGCTTTTAGCAAATAATTAGTGCTAAACTAATTTATTAACTTTTGTAAATTTTACTTAAAATATTTTTTTTAAATAAAAAATACTTAATTTCTTATAAATAAACCAGATAGAAATGTTTTTAAAAAATTTTTTTATTATTGATTTTTATCATTTTTTCTTGGTGAAAATAAAGTAATACTATATTTATAACAAACTGCGCTGCTTGCGTTTCTGAAGAAATGCAATTTGCGAAGAATTAGCTTGCACTAGAAAATAAGCTTGCACCAACTTATCTCAGAACTTTCATATTTTTCAGCCCTATCACTAATTTGATTGAAAAAATAATAAATAAGATAAGTTTTTTTTTCAGCAATTAGACAACTTTAGCACAGCAGTTTTTATAATCAAAGTTTTATTCTTTTTTATTTTATTTTTTTTAAATACAGTATTTTAAATTATAATTTAGTA